ATTTATCATTTATTTTATGTTTATCTTTAATTTTGATTTTTATTTATATATTTTATTTTTAAATAAATCTGATTGCTATTTTCACAGATAATATACGTGTTTTTTTCATTAACTATATGATTTAATTGTTACATGCACGGTCTTACATACAGGTCTGGAAACTCTAGTGGTGGGGGATGGTCGCCTTAGCGACGAAGAAAATAACTCGCTTTGTGACCGTAAGAGTCGCTGCCATCGGTCAGTGTATTATGTGGTAGGACAAGGACGGAAATAGTAATTAGTAAATTCAAAATCGTGAGTGTCAAATAGGCAATAATTGAAGTTTCAAATGAGGAAAGGAATAATAAATAACTTTGTATTAAGAATAAAACGTTGGAAATCTTTTTATTCGTTTCTTTATAAGGACAAATACTGACCGAGCGATACTGAGGGAATAAAAATTCTGCGTGAAGCATATATAATACTGTGCCTTCCTAGTGTGTTTTAGATTGCTAAATGAACAATATAGACAACACGATTTTTGTTTTACAATAGTTAGTTATTTCGACCAAGCTCTTTTTCATCCTTTATTTGGAATCTAATTATAATAAAACAATAAGAAATAATTTACTTTGTAAGATATAATGTTATTTTATGGAAAAGAAATATCTCTCTTCGAATACAAACGATATCAATAAACAATATCAATATAAATTGTTTCTCATAACGAGAAACTTAATTCTAACGAACACCGGATCATAAAAAAACGGAAGGCCAATTATACGAATGCGCAAATTAATAAATTGATATATAATTTATTCTTAATTTACAATATTTAAAGATGACGCGTGATTCTCGGTATGAGAGCGGTTGACTTGTATTAATTCTGATTCTTACCTTACGTATGCCTTGGTTTTATAAGATTAATTAGAAAGTTGAAGGCTATGAGTAAAGGAATATGAAGTAAATAATAATTACCCGTTTCGAGAATTCATAGTTAATTTACAGGTTTCAATATTTATATACATTTTTATTCCAAAAAATATCAATGTAGTTGTACACATAATCAAGGTCGATATCGACCTTTTTACTGTGACTAGTTACAGTTATTTAAAGAAAGAAAATGTCATATAAAGAAAGATTTACATGAGAAAGATGTTATTTTCAATCCATGTCGCTGTCCATGTCCTCAGGAGCCGAAGAAAGTATTTCAACTTAGCTCAAAGAAATAATAAATGACTTTGCATTAAGAATAAAACGTTAGAAATCTTTTTATTCGTTTTAAGAAAACCATTTAAATACATGCAAGTGCGAGGCATTTTTTGCAAAACACGATTCAACATATCGAATAAGATGAAAAAAATGGTGGTTTGCATGCTTCAAACCACCGCGACTTTTCATGTTTACAAATTCAGCGACTGAGGATGTGCATTATATGTCATTTTCAAAAATGCACTTGAATTAAGCGCAATTAAAAAATTGTTGTCACGTTACCATAGGTTACCATCTACACTTCGCGATGACAGCGATGCATAGTGACAACGCCGTGAAATAAATTCTTCCTTGCTAAAACGACCATCCCCCACCACCGAAATCGGTCTGAGTTTCCAGACCTGTATGTAAGACCGTGGTTACATGCTAACCGTTAAAGTTCCCCAATTTATAATATTTTATTTAACAAAGTAATTTAATAATAAAAATAAGTAAAAATGCAATTAAAAAATAGAAAATATTCGAATTTCCTCTTTACCTATAGATAGAAATTTCAGGATTGCTGTCTATAAATTTATCAAATTTTTTGATAGCCATCGGTAGAGTCTATCTTGATTTAAAAAAATTATTTTCGAAAAAAATGAAGAAAAAGTCTCTTAAAAAATCGAAGTTATTGGAATCCCATTTTCTTATACGTCTTAAAAATTTCGAAATTAAATATAGAATTTGTGAGATTTAAAAAAAAATCAAAACGGTCGCACTGAGAAAAACAAACATTTTTTACTTAAATTCTAAAAAAAAACAGTCATATTGCCCGTTAAACATTTTTTCGATATTTTCTTCGAAAAGTACAGTGAAAAACCAAAAGAAAGATTACCTTATTTTTTACAATATCTTTTTTCTTCTTAAAGTTACAGGCATTTGAAATTTTCCAAATTTTAAACTGCATTTTTTTTTTTAATCCATAACTTAGGTATGAGTAGAGATAAAAATCTAAAAAAAATCATAGAAGCTACTTTCATTCAGTACAAAAACACAAAAAAATTTCGGCCAAATCAAAAATGGTCGGGGACAATCATTGGTTGAGTTGGCATGGAGAATGCCCCATATATATATATAATATTTTATTTAATTTAACCACCTAAAATATTTTTATTGTTTTTGACAATGTAAAAAAAAGGTAAAACTGTACATTAAGGGTAACTCTCGCCAATTTTAGTGACGACATATATTGTCAAGAACATGGTTCTAAGCAATATTCAAGAAATTTAGCCATTACTCGTCTATTAGAAAGTTATTAACAATCAAATGCAATCACATATTGTGATGCATGCCTTGGACGTGAGAGTGTACATTTTTGCAATTCCTCATTTCTAATACAAAAAGAATCCGTAATATTTTGAATATCATGAGAGAAAAAAGATTCTAAATATATTCTTGTATGCGTGAAAGCCTCAATTTGAAAAATTTCCCCGAAAACAAATGAAGATAGGAAACCCTGGTTCTCGTCTGGCAATGCATTTTTTATGGCTCTTCAAAGAATATATTCCGAATATATTCTCTTTATACATAAGATCGATAATGATAGCGCAAATTGCATTAAATGATACTGGCCGCTAGATATATTATAGTTAGTAAGTAGTAAAATACATAAATATTGCTAACGATTGACTATAGAGTCGGTTCCAGTGATTGCGAGCAGCCCTCCAGCACATTTCCCGGGAACTCGGCTGGCAGTTCGTCAAACAGCAGCCTCTCGACGAGAAGCCTGGATAGTCCTAGTACTAGTTTGGAGCAGGTACATCCGACCTCATCAGCGGCAAACGCGTCAACTTCGTGGGACAGCGATGTTGATGTTGAGGCTGATCCGCCGGATTGGAGTCAGGCTGTCTCCGAGGACGTTCTTGCGCAGCTCAGCAACTCCGAGAAAAAAAGACAGGATGTTATTAACGGTGATTAGTCAGTTTGTTATAATAGAGATCGTAAGAGATCACATTGGCCATCTTAATTGATTTAAAAAATCGATAAACTGCTTACCAAATTTATACTTCTACAATAGAAGATTGAGGAGTAAGTTAAGAATAGTTTGTTTGATTCAAATAAGTTAAGAACAGGATAATTCTTCTTGCATGCATTTTTATTTGAATACTATTATTATTCGAATTGTAGCGACGGATTATTCTTTTTGCTTCTTCTACGTACTACAGTTTTATATATGCACATTTAACATTTATTTATATAAATATCAAATTCTCTTTTTTTAGAATTGTTTCACACCGAACGCTCTCACGTTCGCGCGTTGAAAGTGCTTTCACACGTTTTCCACAAACCCTTGTTGGAGTCCCAAGTGCTGCCGTTGGATCAGATTCAGTTGCTTTTCTCTAATCTGGATGAGATGCTGATGATACATTCACGCTTTAACCAAGCGATGAAACGGAAGAAGAAAGAGAATTCGTGCGTGAGCGATGTAGGCGAGCTTCTGCTGGAGATGTTCGACGGCGAAGCTGGCGAGGTGTTTGAAAAGGCTGCATCAACTTATTGTGCTAAGCAGCAAGTTGCCTTGGACGCTCTGCGCGATCGTCGACGTAAGGATTCCAAGCTGAACGCTTTCCTGAACGAGGTGGAGGCAAATCCGTTGTGTCGCCGACTCCAGTTGAAAGATCACATACTTACCGGCATGTTGCGACTCACAAAGTACCCGTTGCTCTTTGAAAACCTGGCGAAGTATACGCTAGACAGTAACGAGAGAGAGAAAGCAGCCATATTACGCAGCCTCGAGCGCAGCAAAGAGATCCTGAGTCGCGTGAATCAGGCGGTGAAAGAGGCCGAGGATCATCAACGACTCACAGAGATTCAACGAACAATCGATCGGTCGGCCTTTGATAAATTTGATCATCCAACTGTGCAAGAGTTCAAGAATCTTGATATCACAAAGCGCAAGTTGATCTATGAAGGGCCACTACAGTGGCGGCGTACCGAGCCAAATCGATCGATGCCAAATCGCTCGGTGCCGAAGCCAGTCGATCTGCATGTAGTACTGCTTGACGATACGATCTTCTTTCTACATCGGCAAGACGATAAGTATCTGCTTAAGTTTATCAATACGACCAACCAGGCGGGCAATTCCGTGCTGAGTCCAATTGTCAAACTATCCACTGTATTGGTGCGTCACAACGCTGCCGAGAAAGATTCCCTCTATCTCGTCAACACTTCGCAGAACGGCGCACAGATGTACAATCTAGTGGCACCGTCCTCGACAGAACGTAAGCTCTGGTGCAAACATATCTCCGAGGCCGTTGAGGCTTACAAAGCACGCGATCGTCAGGGTAGAAGACCAACGCCGTCCACCACGCTGTCAGAGGAACCGATGCACACGGTGGAAGATGTGTCGCCTTCCGCAATGGAGGCGGACGACCTAACCGTCGAGAAAGATCAGCCACAGGATCGAGAATCGAGGGATCTTGGACAAAATGCTGCTGGTATGCAAGAGCATGATGAGGAGATGCCGGAGACCGCTACTGTTACGGGAACTCCTACAGCTAAACATATGCAACAGCGGGTACAATCGACTGAGTCGCCAACGACAGGTATTGCGTTATACATTTATAAAGTAGACGGTATAGGGTAACTCGGGGGAATATGCCACACTTAAGAAAAATATGATTTTTTCCCTATTTCTCTTTTTTTTTTATAGGTATTTTTGCATACTGGTTTTCTTTTTCCTTCTTTTATCTGTTATTTATGTATGGTTTTAATGAAATATTTTGATTGTTTACTATTAAAAAGAAAGAAATACAAAAGTGTTGCAAAGTGGCATATTACCCACCTATGTGGGTAATATGCCACATATACAAACATGTATAGTAATTTAACTTTAGAAGGGCATTCTTGTCAAAAAACATGTAAAAGAATATTTTTATTACTTTCTTTGCATTTCAATAGTACTCTGTGTGCTACAAGTAGTCTAAATTATTCGGAATGCAATTTTGCAAAATATTAAGTACGTAGCCTATAATTTTCTTAGCGCATGAAATAAACGTGTTTATTCAACATTTTTTCAATATTTATATGGCAAAATATTTATTTATACTGTTTACAGCTTCCTAACCTGCTACTAGTATACTACTAGTAGGTTAGGAAGTTGTAAACAGTACTGGCATTTTACCTCTATCTAAGTATAGTGGCATATTCCTCCAAGATGCAGTTTTATATTATAATAAGCCTGTATTATACGATTGCCAGTAAAACGAATCGGCGTGGTACTGAATACTTTCATCCTAACCAATTTTAATAGAACGACAAGATGATCGAGTTAAAAATAGTGTAATGCTTGAAGAATATCTCATATAAAACACTAAGAAAATTCTAAAAAGCACGTTGTCATACTGTACTTACTCCATAAAAACTATAATACTGATAGGAAGTAAGTAAAACTTGGATATAAACGCAAAACGTCAGATATAATATTTTTAACAATTTCACAGTATTTACAACAATGCTCCTAGCCGTAGCTTTGTTAAACATAACGAGTGGCATATTCCCCACACTGGCATATTCCCCCCCGTTACCCTAAGTTTATCTTATGATTAGTAGATACGATAACTTATAATTAAATTTTTCTAAAAACTTTTACACCTACATTCTTCTCTATCTATCTATCTACGGCTCTCCGGACTTAAGAAGGTCCTTGGCCTCATAGAGAATTCGCCTCCAGCTTTCACGGTCCCTGGATTTAGTCTTCCAGTTCTCTATCCAGCTTTTTTAAATCGTCCAGTACTGATCTCCACCATCTGTTTCTCGGCCTGCCTCTCGGTCTTGTGCGATGTATGTCATTGTGTAGTTTTCTCCTGCAAGGGTCAGATTCTTCTATTCTGTTCATGTGTCCCAACCATCTCAGTCTTTTTATTTTAATGTGCGTTTCTATATCAGAGTCATTGTAAAGTTGATACAACTCTTTGTTAGTTTTTCTCCTATATTCGTTCTCGTTGATCTTATTTGCACCAAAAATTCTTCTCTTGAATACCCCCATGGCCCCAGGTTTATTGCATCTGAGTCTTTTAACGTCCAGCATTCCGAGCCGTATGTTACAATGGGCCTAATAAGAGTTTTGTATATTGTGGTTTTGGAGGCTCTTGTCAACTCTTTGGATTTCAATAAGGAGATAAGACTGAAATACGCTTTGTTTATTTTCATTAGCCTTCGTTTAACTTCTGTAGATTTATTGTTGTCTGCTGTAATGACTGATCCCAGGTAGGTGAATTCTTTGACGATCTCGAAAGAATGTGATCCTATATTTAGTTTTGGTCCTATCCTCCTACTTATTGCCTGGGGTCTAGATATTATCATGCATTTAGTCTTATCCGCATTTATCTCCAGCCCCACTTTCTTAGCCTCTCTCTCTCTCTATGGCTTCAAAAGCCTCCTTTATTGCTTTTAGGCTTTTTCCTGCTATATCCAAGTCGTTTGGATATCCAAGGATCTGGTAGCTCTGGTATAGAAATGAGGCGTTTCTTTTGACATTTGCTCTCCTTATAACCGCTTCCAAGACTAGATTGAACAGGATTGGGGGTAGTCCGTCGCCTTGCTTAACACCCTTACTTATCGTAAAGATGCTTGACAATTTGCCGTTAACTCTATCCTTGGAACCTTCCGTCATATGTCCGTCATCTGCACACCAGTATCAGCTCATCTGGCACTCCCAGTTCTGCTAACGTCTTTCATATCTCTGCCTTTATGATACCGTCGTAAGCTGTTTTGAAGTTTACGAATAGGTGATACGACGGGATATTGTATTCCCACAGCTTCTCTAGGGTAAGTCTCAGGTTATGCAGTTGGTTTAAAGTTGACCTTCCTTTCCTAAAGCCGTATTGATATTCACCCATCGCCCTCTCGTATATGTCTTCCAGCTTTTTATGTACGATAGACGTGGTTATCTCATATGCTGTATTTAAGAGAGTGATTGCTCTGTAGGGCTCTTCTAGGATTCTATTAAATCTCCCTTCTTAGGGATAGGGTTGATCAGGCTTCCCATCCAGTCCTCTGGGATTGGGCCTTTCTCCTGCCAGATGAGCTCTACCAGCCAGTGCAGAACTTTGTACGCTGCGTTACCCGCGTTTTTCAACATTTCTTCGGTGATCGTATCTATCCCTGGTGCTTTATAGTCCCTTAAGGACTTCACCGCCTCCTTGATGTCCGTTATTGTTGGGAGATGGGCGTACTCCCGTAATTCAGAGGTGCTATACGCCTGTGTATTGTCCTCTTCGTTCTCCGGTACCGCGAAGGTATCCGTAAAATGTTCCAGGCATCTTTGTATTATTTCTTCCTGACTTGTTGCCAGTTCGCCGGATAAAGTTCTTATGAACTAACATTGCGGTTTAAATTATGTTTTAGCGTTTTTAAATTTTTTGTAAAATTTCCTAGGCACCCGGTCCAACCGTTCTTTTTTTATGGATTTCAGTTTTTCTCTCAAGAATGATCTCTTCTTCCTTCTCAGTAGCTTTTTGGCGTTTTTTCTTGCCTCTCTATAGTTGTCTATTGGTATCCTGGTTTCCTTGTTGAGGCATTTTTCCCTAGCTTTGTTCTTGGTTCTAATCGCTTCCGCACATTCCCCTTCAAACCAATGATTTACGGTTCTTTGGTTTTTCTCCTAGCACCTCCTTGGCTGAATGAAGTACTGCTTTTCTGATTTTCCCACAAGCGGTTTATGTTTTCAACTGCGGTTTGTGTATTAACTTAGTTCTTATCTTGGCCAATACCAGATAATGGTTTGAATCTACATTGGGTCCTCTTTTGGTTCTCACATCTGTTATATGCGTTGCACATCTCATATCCACCAGGACGTGATCGATTTTGTTTACCGTTTGTCCGTCTGGTGATCCACGTACCCTTGTGAACATTTTTATGTAGGAACCAAGAACCAAGTGCTGGAAATAGTCATTCCTTTTGTCGTTGCAAAATTGATCAGCTCTCGTCATTACTGCTTGTTGTGTCGTATAAACTATGTATTCCAATTGTGGGGTGAAAGATTTTTTCTTTTCCAATCTTGCTGTTGAAATCTTCCAAGATGATTTTTATGTCGAAGCTAGGGGTGCTATCGTATGCTTCCTCGAGCTCGCGATAGAATTCGGTCTTTTCTTCGACGCTCTTGTCCTCCGTTGGAGCGTGTGCCGAGATTATAGTGATATTATGTGGCACGGCATGCATTCGAATTCTGGGGGTTATTGATTCGAAATCTGTGACTTTGTCGCTCAGTTTATTACTCACAAAGATACCTGTGTCAAACTGGTTTTTTCTGTCTGTACTACCGCTGTAAAACAGAGTACCATCCTTCTTATACAATATTTCTTTACCAGGCTATCTTATCTCCTGCAAAGCGCACAGTTCTATTCTGTACTTGGTCAGTTCTTCTACGACTTCTCGGAATGCAGCTTGTCTGAAGAGGCTCCTAACATGCCATGTCGCAAATCTCATATCGTTATTCTTAGATCGTAGCCGTTTCCGTCTCTAGTTGATCCGTCCCGTCCGAGGCTTCTTCTCTTGTCTGCTAATAGTTAGGTTTTATGAGATAGGGTATTGGCCTATCGTCAACCTCCAACCTGGAGGGCCAGGGACTCTTCTGTTGGAGTTACCATGCCTTAGCCGAGGGATTCCGGTTTTATGACGCCGAACACTCGCCATAACCCATCCCACTAGGGGTAGGATTTGCTAGTTTCATCGACGATTGTCGACTTGGGTGTTGCTTGGTATTTAATAGCAGTTCCTATTCGGCCTAGGTACCACCAAGACTCATTTACTAGCCATTCACCTTCCTCCTATATTCGGGCTTGGGACCGGCACGCCTATATTCTTAACGTTCTAATTTTCTGCATTTTTAACATTCTTCTGTGTTGCTCCTTCGCATCTGCGTATCCTAAATTTATTTGCCAATAAGGTAACCAACATAAACATCCTCATTTTAAGGAGAAATATGTTTTATGTTTTAAAACGATCAAAATATCGATTGTTTTTTTTTGTTTTTCAATTTTTTAAAAGAAGTAAATTGTTTTCTGCATATTTTGAGCTTTATATAAGATGATTCTTGGATGTAATTAAGAAAGTTTCTTAATTATAGGGACGGTATTAAATTTATTTGTATGCTTCCAATATTTTTCCAATTTTATTTTCTAACGTCCACAAAACTTACATCAAAAATAAAAAACTCTACAGTCTATAAGTATAAACTAAATCACATATTATATTTGTAAAATGCTAAGAAAAATGATAAAATATTAATAAGAATAATAATAAGCCCATATAATAACGATAAAAAATTAATAAAGATCAATTTGGAACGAGATACTATGACAGATATAATGAAATAGGAGCAGAGACAATACTTTAGGTTTATTTTATCTTTTGAAGTAAAACCTTTTCTCTGTAATAATTTTTCGAATTGATAGGAAAAAGAATAGAAAAAGATCATTTGAATGCATTGACTCACAAGTGATGAGAAAAAGGAACATAAGAATGGATAGTTTTGCCTAATGATTTCGCAACCGTATTTTTTCCCTTAAAAAACTCAGATCTTTATACGATATAATACTTACTCGATGGTTTGCAATTGTTATATTTTCTCGGTATATTCATATA